TTTTTCTTTTTTTATAGTTGAGTAATACTCCATTGTATAAAAATACCACATCTTTTCCACCCATTCCTCAGGTGATGGGCAGGGTGGACAACATGCAAGTATATATACAGGATGGCTGATGTGGTTGTATTAAAAATTTCCATCACTTTTTTGAAAACAGCAGTTAATGTGTAGAATTTTCACTTTGACTAACTGTATGCTGATATCTGTGATCTGAGGACAGCAGTGTGTAATACAAAAATAATGCTTGAACGCTTGTCAGCTTATTCTTTTAAATGTGCAGCATTTCTAACGTCATATCAATTATTACTATACTCTCTTCAAAATAAATTTTATAAAAGACAAAAAGAAAAACAAGAGGGACATGAACAAAACTTTAAGGTTTAAAAAAAAGGACATACAAATGAAGGACCATTTTGTATCTATATATTCAAAATAGGATAGATATACAGCTACTTTCTCTTAATTCAATGAATAGAAAGATTTGTTCTAATAGTGTTTGTGGACAGGGTATCATGTCTACATCTTGTACAATGAATGACCACTAAGATAGCAATATGCAATGTATTAATTATTGAAACTGTGCTAGTAATTGGTTTTGAAACTGTCTTATTGCTATTTGTTTCTCAATAAAATTATTTTAAAAAATAAAATTATTTAAAAAAATATTTTGCTAAAAATTTAAAAAAACCAAAAATGTAAGGTTTCTGAAAAACAAGGGTTAATATGCAATCATATGTCCAATCTTACAAAACTACATCTGTTAATCTGAGAAACAGATTTGATGATAAAAATAGATAATAGATCAACCTTTGTTAATCAGCTATTCTTGTTCTGAAAATTTGTAACATATATATTGCTTTACGTTACCCTGTTTCTGTCATTGTTTCTGATTTTCTTGCTTTTGTCTTTTACTTTTCAAAATGAAATAATAAAATTAAATTTAATAAAAAAGGAATGCATAAAGAAGATGTGAGGGGCTGGGGAGATGGTTCAGTAGAATAAGCACTTCCCTGGCAAGCACAAAGGCCTGAGTTCAATGCCTGGTTCTGCCAAAAAAAAAAAAAAAAAAGGAAAGAAAGAAAGAAAGAGTGTGTTTTTATGTAATGGAATACCATTCTTCATGAAGAAGGATAAATTTGAGACATTTCTGTGGAAATGGATACAACTTGACACTCTGGGGAGCCGTTAACTGGTATCCATTTTATAATAGTGTCAGCCATTTTCTTAAGTTTCTACTCCCCTGCTGAGTTAAGTTTCTGCTCCTTCCCGCCTTGCCCATTCCCCATGAGTCTCGTGCTATGCCCCACGGGTGGGACCTTCCTCCGTTGCCTAGATACCTGCTGACCCCCAAGAGCCGAGACTTGCTCATTCCTACACTCCCTATATATACCCAGCACCTCCCCTGAATAAACGAGACTTGATCAGAATCCTGTCTTGTCTCCATTCTTTGTGTCTCCTGTCCCTTCTCATCCCCATTCCTCCTCTAGGGTCCTCTTTGACTAACCCATGGGTCGGGACATGACACCATACTATTAAGTGAAATAAATCGAACTCACATGTACAGACATTGCATTTATTCCAACTTTATCTCTTTCCATATTTATAAATTGTTACTGTGACAGGGGAAATCAAAGATCCAAGTGTACTAAATAAGTCATTGACTTAACCAATGCAAGATACGTAAATCAGTGCTCTTTAATCAGCAGTCTTGCAAATAGCAATTTGTGCAGGGCAGTGGTGACAAACCTGTGACGTGCATGTGACAGCATGCAGAGCCTCCTCTGTTGTCACAGGAGCCATCATTTCAGCAGCTGAGAATTGGATATTCAGGTTTAATAGCAGTGTTGCCCTTTATAAGTGGGGTTGGGTTTACAGTTTGGATACTTGGTTTCTAAAAAGTTCACATCACTGGTCTGGTGAAAAAAGACAGTTTCCCCAGGTGCCATGAGGAAAACTGAAGCTGTGGACATGCCCGGGTGGGTGTATGTGTGTGGGTGGGTGGGGGGAAGGGGGAAAACCAGGCAAATATATATACAGGATGAGTGGAACTGATAAACTGGTACTTTTTGTTCTCATGTACATACTTAGGGAGAGTGTTTTCATAATAAACTATAGGTACTACTACAATAGCAAAAAATAAAATGCTAAAGACTTTTACATGTGCCCTGAGAATATTAAACATGTATCTGTTGATTGCCTGATTTGAGCTGGTTTGGTGCTACCGATGGTGACAAATAACAACCGGAAAAGCACAATTATTTGTGTTCTTTTGTGCAGCTGGAGTATATGTTCAGTGAAGCTTTTAACGCAGGTCTGTAGGGCTTGGTTAACTCGCTCCTGCAGAAGCACCTCAGCATGGTATTATAAGTGGCCTCTGGGAAGAGGTTCCAGGTGCCTGCCCAAGAGTTCTGGCATGACACGAGGGCTTACTCAGGACTCTGTTGGCAGTGCACATTGAGTTGGGCCATGCTGGAAGCACAGCAGTGCGAGAACCTCCATAAATCTTTTAAAAAAGAACAGCGAGCATGGCAAAAGAAAACTGCCTTAGAGAAAACTAAGGTCTCAGGTGGCACAAAGCCTCATGATTTAGGAAATATAGGAATGTGGCCTTGAAACTCCATTTACAAAAATGGAGCTCCTTTGGATGAAAAGAAGTGTTCATAGAAATAAAATTGAGCACAGCTCAAAGACTAAAGTTGTCACAGAAAAGGCAGAACTTGGCAGGAGGGGAGAAGGGAGTAGCACATGTTGAAAATTACTTAGAGGCAGCCATTTGTAATGATTTTTTTCTATTCCTCCCTTTTTTGCAGTACAGGGATTGAATTCAGGACCTGGTGCTTGCCAGGCAGGTGCTATGCCACGGAGCTATCTCCCAGGCCCTATTTCCCTTTTTGGACTCAAAAACAAAACAGGGAATTTTCTCTGAGCCAATGCTATTCACCACACATAAATGTCCTAAAGTATTGGGGGGGGGGAAACTCTCCTAATTTAGACATACGAGTTGAAAGGTCTGTAAATAAACCTCAAATAAAAATGTTGCAGGAAAAATTAAGTGAATACTAGACTTACAGGAAATTATAGACTGTCCGAAAAATGTTCAAAAATGCACAAAAACTCAATGTGACAGAAGCTAAGGAGATAGTAGAAATGATGAGGTATCAGTATAAGACATGCTGAGCTTCTGATTTCTTTAAGATTCTAGTGTGAAAGCCAATGGAGCTGAGCAAGTTAGGTTCTTATGATGAGATCTGTGGGTAGAGGCCCAGCATAGGACACTGAAAGCCCAGTGGCTAAGTACAGCGTCCACACAGCATGGGCCAGAGAGGCTGAGACGGCAATTGAGACTGGACATGGTGGCGTGAGCCTGTAATCCTAGCTATTGGGAGGCTGTAAACAAGTGGATCACTACAATTCTGATCTAGTGATGAGACCCTTAACACTCTCTAGATCCTTCCCTAAAAATAAAAAAAATTTAAAAAAAGCATTTCAGGCATTAATATTGTACTTCTCACTTCTGGTTAAAATACTGAGAGTTGTAAAGAAAAGATTTATCCCTCTATTATAACTGGATAGAGAATAAAGTAATTAAAGTCAATACTCTAAAATGCTATTCAGTATATTTTTTTGAGACAGCATCTCACTTTATACTTCAGGCCTTGAACTTATTTGGTAGCCCAGGCTGTCCTGGAACACTTGGTGGTCCCTCTGCCTCAGCCTCCCAAGTGATGGGATTACAAGTGTGCACCACCATGCCACCTTGAAAAGTCAACACTTTAAAATGCGATTGAATGATTTTTTAAACATAAAGCATACATGGAGCTCAATTCCAGCAAGGAATGATCTCTTACTGGAGACCTAAAGGAACGCTCTCCTCTGAAGGCACTTTCCAAGGCTCTTCACAGCTGATGAGAGAGCAAGCTTGCCATAACATACTTTGGCTAGAAAACAGAAACTAGCATAGTTCTTAAGAGACTCTTGGGAATATGTAGTGTTTTGGGATCTGTGGATTGCAAGATGTCATAGTTCTCCTGCTTGGTGGGTATCCCTTGTGAATATTCATTAAATGTGTTACTGTGACATCAATAATGGGAAACATGGAGAAATATATGATGTCATCAGGTTCTCACACTGCAAATTCCTGCTAGATTCTGCATAGAGGGGTTCTAATATTCAGAAAATCCCAACTGAGAAGTGTAGGAAACACCACACTGTCAAGAAACAGGAGTGCATGATCCTTCCACCCACTGAGTCCTGGGCTGTTGTTCAGACTCACCAGGCACTGGTCACCTATGTGACTCCTATGGCACAGAATACATGCGCTCACAAGATTAGAAAATGGATTTACTATTTACAGATGGGTGACAAGAGACAGAAGTTTCAAATCCACTGTAAGTTCAAGAAAATTGCTCAGGGAAAGTAGAGACTTCAGTGAGTGTATTTAGGTAAGGGACCTCAATAGATAGCCCAGCCTGGGTTCTGGGCCTCATAGGTGTGAGACACACTGGGCAGATGTAATGGTTCATAGTGCTTCTCAACTTGACTTATGTGAAAAGATGCCCAGCAGATTAATAATGCACACTTCTGGGTGTTTCCGGGAGTGTCTGGAGATTATTGTCATATGGGCAAGTAAATCTAATAGGCTTGCAGCCCAAATGGAATGAAAGGGAAGAAGGAGGAAGTTGTATTGTGTGTTAAAAGCTCCATCCTCCCTGAGACCATAATGTTAAGTGAAATAAATTGAACACAAAAACTTAAATATCACTTAGACTTTACTATATGAAAAACTCAAAGTATACATAAAGAATAAAAGAAAAGATGGATAACAGGAAATAGAGAGAGGGACCTTTCCCACATGGGAAGGGGGTCAAGTGACAGAGGAGGGAGGTTCAGGGAGAGGCAGATGAGGGAAAGGGATGAAGAAAGCAATGAAGATGCACAAGCGCCAACTCCACAGAAGGAATGTAGACACTGTGTGCCGCAATGATGCACTAATTTAAAAAAATCAAAGGTTCTGTTCTTCTTTATCAGTTGCATTTTTGCAACATCAAATTCTTAAGACTTTAGATATGAGTTCATTCCAGCTATTCTCCATGAAGTTCCAGGCTTTGAATTCCATATTCGCATTGCATCGTTGAGCCCTCTCATGGAGCGTGTGTAGCTTCTTGGGCTGAGCAGCTACTGGCTTGTGTGGCTCTGCAGCATGCAGGAACACAGCCACCCTGCACTGTCTTGCTTCTGGTGCTGTCGCCTATCTGATACTCTCTTTCAGATAGAAGATAGGTAGGTAGGTAGGTAGGTAGGTAGGTAGGTAGGTAGGTAGGTAGGTAGATAGATAGATAGGCAGATAAGTAGATAGATGAATAGATAATAGATAATATAGGTAGATATATAGATGGGTAATTGGTAGATAGATGATATATATTAGGTATACAAATAGATAATAGGTTGTAGGGGGTGATAGAACACTCCTGTTATATTTTCCCTTATTTGGGCAAGAAATGCTGCAGCACCAATCCCTGCTTGCCTCAGCATCTTCCTGTGGTCCTGGACCTCCACTACCAATCCACAACTAGTCCCACCCAACTACTTCCACTATACAGCTATTTAGACCCTGCTCACTTCCTCAATAAATGAGACTTGATCAGAAAGCCTGTCTTGTCTCCATCTCTAGTGTCTCTTGCCCTGTCTTGTTCATCCCCGTTCCTCTTCCAGGTCATTACCCCACGTCTCGACTCGCGGGCTGAGTCAATAGGTAGATAAATGGATAATCGGTAGACAGATGATAGGTAGGTGGATAATATATACGTACATAGATACATAGATGGTAGATTGTGTTCTCCTGGAGAACCCTAAGAAATTGAACAAAGCCTTAAATTGTACCTTGCTTTTAGAGGGAGAGTTAGCATAGAAATAGTGAAATGAACAGGCGATAGTAGAAGTGGATGGCAAAGGAAAGGAAGAGAGAGAGGTTAGGAAAGTGGAGGGGAAGACACAAGAACTGTGCTGGGTGTAAACATATATCTTGACAGAAATACTAAGGGCTGAGTTTGGGCTGAGAATGTCACAGAGACTGGACTATTCTTTGTGTGCTGTATGCTACCAACGTGTGAAAGAATGTTTGTTTGTGCCACAAAAATGGAAGAACTGAATCTGAAATGCACACTCTGCTGGAGGGAAATTACTTTCTGTCCATAAATCAAGTACCCATCACCAACATTCTTACTATTTCTGCTTAATCATTGTAGTGATACATGGATACTTAAAGATACTTGAGAATTTCTACTGAAATCTTTCTACTTCAGTCTTCCAAGTTGATAAGAAAGTGCTACAAGAATCCTGTTTTAAATCTTACTGTAAGGAACTCTTGGAACATAGAAATGCCAACTTTTGTAATGAGAGAATTCCCTTGTCCACAACTCTTATCCTGTAACCAAGAGGTGTAGGGCGAGTGAACAAAAGACTCCAGAAAGAGTGAGTTGGATCTAAGAGGGTGCTACAGTACTGGTAGGACAGACAGGACAGGACAGCTAGGGTAGGTATAAAGTAGAGTAAAAATCACCAGTAACATTCCTGGGGATGAATATCACCTTGAGGAGATGAGTACCTTAGCCTTTTCTGTTACAGTAATTGGAGCCACAACAAATGTATTGATAAGTGTGGTCCTTGGTGGTTTTCTTCCCATTTTTGCAGAACTTCTGACAGTCCATATATGATAACACGTGAGTAGAATCTGCAACAGGGAAGAACCACATAGAAAAGCCAGTGATCTAAATTTTCCAAGGCAGGAGCAATTGTGGCATAAATCCGGCAGCAGAGCAGGTGGAAGGTTGGCTTCCCAGCTCACACTGCCCAGGAGCAGCAATGCAGAAATTGCTGGCTACCTGCAGGGGTTGGACTATTCGCAAGAAGTCCTTCACAGCTGTCAGGGTACTGGGTATCTGTTTGATTCTCTTTTCTGCTAGAGCACTAGCAAATAGCATTTTGAGGTTCTGTAGGTAAAAAATCTCTTTAGCCATTTTTTTTTTTTGGTGCTAAGAATCCTCATCTTTCCTCCTTCTCATTAGCCCTCTCCTTTCTGTGTGCACAGGGACCTGTGCCTGTGGTGCTGGGGCATTCTGTAATTGGGTTCTGCCCTGCGGTTGGCCTCGCTCTGAGATGCAAAGTTGGTGCACCACTGTCTTGGGAATTCTAAGGTTCTTGGAGCACCTCCCCGACTCTCTGACTTACTAATGATGACCTTGAGATGCATGCACTTCTCGTTCTTCTGAGCAACACACATGCCAAAGCCTCGTCTACAGCGGTCTCTCGCAAGGTGAAGATGACATGTTGCACATCTCAGTGATGTTGTTGCTAGAGAGAGCACAGAGCTGGGTGTGAGGCCAGACAGAGGCGGGGACTTGGGATGGAGCTGGAAATATTCCAACTGGGAGAGTGGGGTGACCAGGTTCTGGGTGGGTGGGTGAAGACCTGATGGTGCAGTAGACAGGCAATGAGCAACTAGGTCATTAGCAATTACTCGGTTATGCTGCAGTGATGTAAGAAGATGCTACTGTGTGAGTAAAAGGATCCTCAACCCAACCTTAGTTCTTTTCATTTGGAATACTTTTTTTAAAAAAAATTATCATATACTCATTTACTTATTGGCTACAACTTCTCATTAAGCAGCTTGGACTCATAGTGATCCTCCTGTCTCAGCCTTCCCAGCACTAGAATTACATGCATGTGCCACCAAACCCAGTTTCGGTGGCTGGCAGGTTCTAGGAGTGGCATGGCATGAGGTACCAGGGATTGAACCCCAGTCCTTGTGCTTGCCAGGCAGGCACTTAGACTACCAGGCTATCTCCCCAGCCCATTTGGAATACTTTGCACTTCCACAAAAAAAGAAAAATTAACTTTCATGTCATCCTATAGTGTAAAAATGGTGCTATTCCTCCTGTTCTCTCCTAACTTGCAGAGCTGCGGAGAGGCTCGAGTGTGGTGAGGAGGAATGTCTCAGAGTATTCCATCTAAGCTGCTGTTGCTAGGGTGTGGTTCTGACAGTGGCCTTTATTTTGGGTTGCATACTCCTGCTTCGATGGTGCTAAGTGGCACATGTGTTATTTTTTAAGTTCAAGGAATCTGGGTGTTGACCTCATGGATAATGATACAAACCCCTATGGAAATCAGTATGGCAATTCCTCAAAACCTAAAAGTAGAAATTCCTTTGGCCTCAGCCATTCTGCTCTAGACATCTTCCCCACAGAGTGAAAAGGGTCGTATTACCACGATGCTCACAGACCCATGTTTACACTGGCTGAAGTCACACCTCCCAAATTGTGAAGAAGGCCTGTATATCCATCAACAGATGAAAGGATAAAGAAATTGTGGCGTGTGTACACAATGCAGGGTTACTCTGCCATAAGGATAAACTCGAGCCATTTGTAAAAAAAAATGGAGATATGTATGTATGTATATATATAGTATTTTAGGGAAGAGTCTCCAGGGTGTTCAGGGTCTCACTACTAGATTGGACTCGTAGTGATCTGCCTGTTTACAGCCTCCCAAGAGCTGCGATTACAGGCGCGTGCCACCGCGCCCAGTCTCAACTGCTGTCTCAGCATCTCTGGCCCATGCTGTGTGGACGCTGTACTCAGCCACTGGGCTTTCAGTGTCCTATGCTGGGCCTCTACCCACAGATCTTGTCATAAGAACCTAACTTGTTCAGCTTCAGTGGCTTTTACACTAGAATCTTAAAGAAATCAGAAGCTCAGCATGTCTTATACTGATAGCTATTTGGCTGCCCCCTTGCAGTCTTAATATAAGCTAAGTAAATAAGGCACAAAGGTTTAAACATTGCATGTTTTCTCTTAGAAGAGAAAACAAAAATCTAAATAAAGAGCAAACTGAAAGACAGAAAATAGGAAAATAGATGTTTTGCAATTGGAATTGGGACCAAGGTATGGAAGGGAGAGGGGAAGCGAGGAAGAGCTAAGGGTTGAAACAAGAATCGAGACGCATGATGGGCATATTCCCACTCCTCATGCGTAATGTAATCATTATGCACTGCAAATATGTACTTACAAAAATGGAAATTGAGGGCCGGCAAATAGCTCAGCAGATTAAAAAGCCTGCAAGCAGCCTCAGGGGCCGGGGGTTTGATCCTCAGGTCTGCCTTGCCAGCCCCGCCCCTGGGGCACACTGAGACGCAATTGAGACTGGGTGTGGTGGTGCGTGCCTGTAATCCCACCACTTGGGAGGCTGTAAACAGGCAGATCACTACAAGTCGGATCTAGTAGTGAGACCCTGAACACCCTGTAGACCCTTCCCTAAAAAATACAAAAAAAAAAAAAAAAAAAAAAAAAAAAAAAAAAAAAAAAAAGAAAATTGAAATAATTTCTGAAAATACAGAGAAAAACACAATGACACCTTTATCATGTTTTAGGGGATTAATTATTGCAATGAACATTTAATTTTTGAAACTGTCTTCTTGGTACTCCTAAATGAGAAAAGAAAGCAGCATTCTATCATCTCATTAGGACTATTTTCTTCTCAAATTTAATCTGATTTAACCCTCCTAAAAGCCTTGCAAGAAGATATTGTGTCCATTTGTCAAATGAGCAACTAAAGGTACATAAAGTTTAAGACCATGATTGGACATTTAAAAGAAAAAGCAAGACAAAACAAAACAAAAAAACCTGTCTGATTTCATGGTGTCCACAATTTCCTCTCCTAAATATACTCGTCACAATAAATTTTTCTGAAAGAGTATCGGAAACCATCAAGTACAACAAAATTATTCATTTGGCTGACTACCTCCCTCAGAAAATGAGTATAGAAGAGCAGAAACGATGTCCTGAGGGAGACGTTGATGGAATATGGAAGATATGGAATGGCTGAGGTAGAGGAGAAAAGCCGGATAGAATGGCAGAAGCTCAAAAGTTGGAGGGGAATGGTAAGGACACCTGAGAGGACAGAAAGGTTGCTAGGGGCGGCAGCTGAGTATTCTGCAGCCTGGTTGCCATTGCTCACAAGTGTGGTCAAAGATGAGTCCTGTGTGCACACAGTTCAGGATGTGACTTCCCCTGGAGTTCTCTACGTTCTGTGGCTGCAGCCCACTCCTCAGGTCTGGACTCACCCAAAATGAGGAAGAATAGGGAGAAGAGCAACAAGAAGTATTTGTTCATTTTGACTCTTCTCTTGCACAGGAGAAAATAAGCCAGAAGCTGCAAGCACAGGTCATTAGACTCCAGGGAAGATGCTTTTGCCTTCATCCGTGGCTAAAAGAGCTCGTCACGCAATGTTTTGTCTTGGAACTCAAATTCATTGGTTGTCCTCCCCATGGCAGAGAGTAATGGTGATTCACAATTGTTGGGTTTACAATGAACTGACTTTTTAAAAAATTACAGTTACCACAGAGTAGTCACCATGATTGACTTCCAGGAGTTGTCATGGGTGCTACCATCCACCAATGTTTAATATATGAAACAGTACTGTACTTGCATATAGTGTAGGTACACCCTCCTATACACTTTAAATCATCTCTAGGCCATTTGTGATATCCCATGTGTATTCTGGCTAAACTACTTTGTGCTTGCCAAGTGTCTGTTCTTTCAAGATTTTCTTTGGCTCCTGAAAGTCCCATTGAATTTTGAATCTCCATTCTACCAGACTAATTCTAATTTCAGGTAGTATTCTGGAATTTTAAGCTCCTCCTAAATATTGAGGTCCTTAAACCCACTCAACATCCTTCAACAGATACTACAGCTATCAAACTTTCCCTTAAAAATAATTGAGTTTTTCATTTCTCTCCAGGCAGGTGAGGATGGCTATCAGATCCTTTGAATAGAGTTTGTGTGGTGTGATAGAGTGGGAATAACTGCGTGGCCTCTTTTGGCAAGTCATTTATCTGTGACATTGTATTTGACTATCTTTTGAGTTCCTTGTTACTTAAACATTCTATGGCTTGTCATAAAAATTGTAAGCATGGGCAAGCAGTTCTGTTGTTCTGAAATAACAGGTATTCTGACAAAAGATGCCACGTTCCACATTGCCATGGAATCACTAGGCAAATCTCCCAAATTACACTTGCACCCATTTCAAGAAAGCCTCCAATCAGCAGAGATGCCATTTGTCCTCCTCCGAGGAGAAAGCAGAACATTGTGTCCTCAAGTCAGGCCTCTCTTGGCTTTGAGGTGGGCGACAGAGATCTTGCTGATTACACAGATGAGCAATCTGCACGCTTTGTGCTTCTGACACTCTTGGTTTTGGGGAAAAGGCCTCTAGGCTTGTCAGGCTCCTGGCTTCATTGGGGGAAGCATCTGATTTGCAGAGTGGAAATGGAGATAAGGGTGAGAAATAATGACCCTTTAAAAAATCTAACAGAGGGGTGCTAGCTGTGGGACCCAGAGAAATCAGTGGATATATACATATAAGTATTTCCAGTCCCTTCTGCCTACAGTTGCTGGTGAGGACAGAAATGAAGGCAAAAGAACAGTGACACTGTTCAGTGCTGGCTACCTGCCATGCTCAAGGACATCTGTTTCTACACGGATTGTCTCAGCAAGGCCTTACAACAGAATGATGAAGAACCTAGCGAGGGGCAAAGCGAGGGTACATGCCTAAAGAGTGACACTAAAATTCAGACTTCATTTAGTAGATTGCTGGGAATATAATGCTTCAGATGAAAAGTCACAGTAGATAATGCAAAATTGCAAAAGCCCCTTTTTTCGGATCTGTTCAGGGACTGACTTCATGGATATGTTGGCACCTTCTTTTCTTCTTGAGCAAAGTTTACTAATGCAGAATCTACTGGGCTCTTAGTTTTATGAGGTACAATTGTTAGGATGTGTTTCGACAGGTGCTGGAAGCTTGGTGTCTCTGTCTTCTTTCCTGACCCTGGGATGAAATACCCAATGACACAACTTAAAAGGGGAGAGGTGCGGCTCACAATTGCCAAGGAGATGCAGTCTTCAGTCCACAGTTGGCTGGCTTGAAGGCAAAAATGGTGGTGTAGAATTGTAGAAAGGTCACAGTGGCCAGCTAATGGAGAGGAGAAACAGAGGAGCCGGGGACAACAATAACTCTTTTGAGTTGCGTCTTCAGTGACCTACCTCTCCCAACCAGATCCCAGCCCTAACGGAACAATGGGTGAAGTCTCTGTCATCGGATCCCCATGATCCAACCACCTTCCAAATACATGAAGCTTTGGGGAGATTTTAGGTCTAAACTACAGCACTTGGTTCCCTATGAGGTGGTATTAAGAGGCCTTGGAACCCTTAAAAGGTGGGTCCTAGTGGAAGGTCATAAGTCATTGAAGATGGGTCTCAGAAGGGATTAAGGACCCTTGGTTAATTCTTGAGAGAACAGGGTGTTATAAGGAGGCTCCTCCTGCTCTGGCTTTCTGCCTTGCCATAAGATGGCTTTGGCTTTTGTTCCCACCATGATTCCATTTGCCATGATGTGATTCAACAAAGGGGCCTCACCAGGGCCAGTTCCACTTTATTTTGACTTTGAACCTCCAAAACCTCTTCTCGTTCTGAAGTACCTACCTTTGTGTATTTCCTTATAGTAACTAAAAATGGACTAGAAGTTTACATACAGGTGTAAACTTTAGTAGAAAACTTTCTATTTTTATTCTTATTAATTTCTATCTAATGAAAAGCAACATACTGCTTCAGAGTCCTAACCCAAACAGTGGGACCCTGGGAAAGGCCAGTTGCCTAACTGCCTAACTTGAACAAAGACAGCCAAAAGGATGACCTCTGTGTTTATGAGCACTTGCCTCTCTCATTGTGTTAGTTAAGGAGCCAGACAAATTGACTTTGGAACAGAACCTGACCACTCAGGTAGTTCACGCTGTCCTTGAGCTCCTCAACAGCATCCACACCACTCAGTATCAGGGAACTGCTTATTGGAAATCCCCAGCTCACTCTCCAGCCAATTAATGCTCTCAACCCTGCCACCTGTTTCCCCACAGAACTCAGACAGCCAGATCAGGACTGTCTTTATGCCAACAGACAAGCTCTATGCTAGTAGGACTGATCTCAAGATGGAGTCGATAACAGATGCGAATTATACTTTATTCATGGAAGGGAGCAGCTCTGTTAAAAATGGGCAATGTAAGGTTGGCTCTGTTGTTGTCACCACTGAGCAAGTCCTCCTAGCAGGGCCTCTTGCCTCCAAATTGGTCCACTCAGTGAGCTGAACTCTGGGCACTTATTCATGCCCTCAGTTGGGCAAAAAACAAAAAGGTAAACACATATACAGATCTAGATATGCCTTTGTTACAATTCATGTTAACAGAATGCTATGCAAGGAGCATGGCCTTTTGATAGCAGAAGGAAACAAATTGAAAACAAAGATGAAATCTTTTAGCTTCTGACTGATATATGGAAGCCCCAAATGGTGGCTGTCATACATTGCAGCAGGTATCAAAAAGTCAGGTAACAGACACCATCATCCTTGGCAACCAGGAAGCAGATGAGGTTGCTAAGCTGGCTGCACAAGGCTGAATGTAGAAAGATAATGATTTAGTTCAAAACGTAGAAGCACAACATGAGATCCCACCAAGGACAGTTCTCAGCCTGGGCCAAGACCCCCTCCATTATACAGAAGAGAAAATAACATTGGCACAACAGGAAGGATCAACTGTAAATGTGAATGGGTCTAGGCCTTGCCAGATGATGGAATGATCATACCAAAAGCCTTAGCTTACTCATGGGTAAAATATCATCATGACATCTCCATGGAGGTAAGATTGCTATGACCCAGCTTCTGAGCCACTATTATTACATCCCCAAACTAACATCAATTGATGCAGCTGTCAGCCAAAGACACCAGACCTGTGCAAACACTGAGGCCTCACTGGGTCCACGACCACCACCTGGAATTCAGCATGCAGGACTTTCTCCTGTTGAGGACTTCCAAATAGATTTCACTGAAGTGAAGCCATGTTAGGGATACAAATACTTGTTGGTCCTTATTTGTACTTATTTCCGAATGGACAGAGACATTCCCCACTGGGACCGAAAAGGCCTCTACAGTATGCAGAGTGTCATTAAGAGAAATCTCCAAGCTGTGAGCTACCCCTGACTATAGGTAGTAACAGTGGACCTTCACTTGTGGCATAGCTGACCCAGAAGCTGGCTAAAGAACTATTTAGAGATAATACTGACCAAATATTATCAAGAGATTCAGGCAACATAGATAGATTTGCTACTCTCTTAAACTTCACCCCTTTTGAAGTTTTTAGGGAGGTTCCACCTTTAACAAATGACCTCTGGGAGACCTACATCAGTTCGTAAATATCACCCTACAGGAATAGCTTATTCAGCTAGGAAAAACATTCTCCCAGGTACATAAAAGTACAGTTGAGAGGGCATCCATTCCTACTGACACATGCCCATATACATAACTCAGATGACATAGTTTGGGTTAAAGACTGGAAAAAGGACCTATTATCTCCTAGGTGAAGGGACCCATATTTGATAATTTCGAGCACAAATGCTGCAGTGAAAGAAGCAGAGACCCATCCCCAGATCTATCACTCCAGAGTCAAGAAAGCCCACCCTGATGACTGCTGGAAGGCCTACCCTGATGAGTTGGCTCCTCTGAAGACTTCTCGGAAGAGACAGCACACTCAAAGCCTGGAAGCTGATGAGTCAATGCGCTGCTGAGGATTGAAAGGACATCATACACTGGATATCTGTGGTCCCTATGAACTGCTATTCTTGGTATTCTTAGCCTTTCTCCTCCCATTGGTTTTGATATTTGCTGTTAAACTTTGGACTGTGTCCCCAAAGGACTGGTAAGTTCTGGAAAAAGTTGTTTTTGTTATTTTCTATCCTACTGGATCCATGTTCTCTTAATTGTTTACAATGATTTTTCTGTGGATAATATGCCTAAAGATACTGGGAACACAGGGCAAGACAGCACTTTGGAAGTTTCAAATTCAATTTTGCAGTTTTAGTCATGTTGTTACCCTAAATCAGACTAGACGGAGCCCTCTCAGCCTAAAGTGAGCCTTTGCTTGATGTTTGCCCAACTCAGGCTGAGCTTCTAAATTGGAAAAACTATCTTCATACATCAGAATGTGGAGGATTAGGTTGGGAATGAGAATATCACTCCAATAACAAGTATGTCTGTCTAGACTGGTTACAGATACAGAAACATTGTAGATCCCCTTTCTCATCTACTTTCTGTCTGAGATGAGACTGTCATAGGATGCGGTGGGCTAAGACATCCCTCTAACTCAGGTCCTCTTGGGTCCAACCTGTTGATGGGGCACTTGCAA